ATATATATATATATATATATATATGTATATATATATATATATATATATATATATATATATGTGTGTGTGTGTGTGTGTGTGTGTGTGTGTGTGTGTGTGTGTGTGTGTGTGTGTGTGTGTGTGTGTATGTGTGTGTGTGTATGTATGTATATATATATATATATATATATATATATATATATATATATATATATATATATATATATATATATATGTATATATATATATGTGTGTATATATATATATATATATATATATATATATATATATATGTATATATATATATATATATATATATATATATATATATATATATATATATTTATATATATTTATATGGCGAGTATCCAGGCAGGCCCTCGGCCCATCTCTAACTCACCACAGGTCTGGTTGAGCTGCCCAAGCCATGACCTACCAGGTCGTCCCACGGGCCTCCTCCACCCAGGATTGTCTCGCAGAGAGACAACCTGTCGGACAGGGTCATCCACAGGGAAACGAGCACATATAGCCTGAGTTGGTGATCCCGGATTATGCAAGTAACAGGTCCCATGCCAGTAGTAGCTGTCGGTTGAACACATGATCCTGCCATCTGTACCCCATGATCCGGCGAAGAGACTTATTACAAATGGCATCAAGATACGACTCCAAGGCACTAGATAGTGTCAGTTTTCTCTTCCAAAGAACAAAACTGGCAATATCAACTTGGCCTTTCTGCAAAGGTACCAACATCTCCAAATGCTCTTATTGATTGATTTCATGGCTCCTGCTGTCAGACCAATCCGTCTTCTGACCCAGAAATATGGACTACGCTACCAAGGTATGCAAAGCTTTCTATAACTTAAACGTCCTCACCGCATGCATGATTCGACTGAACGGGTTCCCCAAAGCCCCGAGTCTTGGTCTGGGCCCAGGAGACCTCTAGGCCCAAGGGCTTTACCTCATTGCTAAATGTATCAATAGCAGCCACCAGTGATTCCAGGGACTCAGGATAGGAACATCATCGGCAAAGTCAATGTCCGAGACCTTGATATTGTCCAGTGCTGCTTCGCACTGACTTTGGATAGCAGCTCTGCCCATTATCCAGTCCATGCAGGTGTTTTAAAAATCTTGGTGCAAGGACACAGCCTTGCCTCACACCTGAATTAACAGGGAAGAAGTTCGACAGGCACCCACCACACTTTGCAGCACTTTCGGTATTAGTGTATAGGCTTGCTATTAGGCCAATAATTAGTGCCAAAATTCCCCTAAGTCTCAGAATCTCCCATAGCGATTCTCAATGCACTGAGTCAAACGCTTTCTTGAGGTTGATATAAGCTGCAAGCAACCTACAGCCGAACTCATGATGCCACTCCACAATTACTCAAAGTGCTAGGATATGGTCTATTATGGACTTGCCAGGAGTGAATCCAGACTACTTTGGCCTCTGGTGCCTCAGTAGGTGGCCAAGTTTCCATTTCAGAAGAATGTGGGCGAAAACCTTGCTTGGTATACTGAACAGTGTAATGCCATGGTAGTTGCTACAGTCCCAATGATCCCTTTCCCATTCCAGAGAAAGATGACCATGCCCCTAAACAGGTCAGGGGGAATGGAATCAGGCTGCCAGATGCAAGCCCTGTGCTATAGGTTCACCCCCAGTCTTTAGCAGCAGGGATATCCCGAACCCCAACATGATCTGAGATGATCTGTCTATCCACTGAGTGGACAGTCATCTGTGAGGAGGGCTTAGAGTTTAGTTTTCTCAGGGATCGTTAGGCAGGCAAAGGTCAGTTACTAAGAAATGGCCTTAATCCTCCTCAGCAAGATTCCTGATGAGCTGCTGTTCCTAGTCCCTTCTCAGCAATGTCTGAGCCCTACACACCAAGGAGCAATGCAAGTCCTGATTGCCATTCAGCTGAGCCATGCGACATGCTTCAGTGGCCTCCAATGTCTTCAAGATGAAATTCTGCCTTGCCCTCGGGTGTATGCCAATGGACTCTTGCGCTGTGTCGAGTGTCTCGCACTTGAAGGACTCCCACAGAGCAACTGGGTCCATCAGGTGTTCAAGTTCTGTGAATCGATCAGAGACTCACATGGCGAACCCTCGCACACACTCCTCCTCCCTCAGTCTCTCCAAGTGAAATACCTTAGAGTGGCCACTGGAGGGATGAGGAGTTTTGAAGTGGACCTGTAGGGTAGCCACTACATATAGGAGCTTATGGTCATGTCACACAACTCAGCACTCCAGTAAATCTTGCAATTCTGAAGGATTCTCCATCGAGTGCTGACAAGAATGTGGTTGATCTCCTTAGCCACAGTACCCATAATGCTTTACCATGTCCAGCGATGTGAGTTGGAGCGCTAATACCAGGAGCCAGAAATCCTCAATCTCTGGGACCTAGCAAAGTCCCGGAGAAGGAGACTGTTCTCACTGCTAGGATCAACTCCCGTGCCATGGGGGCCGACAGACATCTCATAGCCAGCTCGATCGCAGCTGGATACCGCAAGAACAAAGCTAATGTCTCGCTGGGTACAATTGTCTGCCACGGATGTGAGTTTGGCATAGATGTTTGCAAACATTGGTTGGAGCGTACACAGCAGTAAGAGACACAAAGCCAAAAGCATGTTTCAATCTCAGTGCCATAATCCGTTCATTAACCGGTGTTACCTCAACTACCTAGGGTTGCAGTCGGGTGGAGATGGATATGGCTACTGCCTGGAGGTGATGACCATCGCCACGGCCCGACCATTAGTAGTGTACCCACCCATACTGGTCTTCTCACCTCAACTCCCAACCGCTTCAGTTCCCTGGATAGCAGAGGTAACCGCTCGTCCTGTCGCAGGGATCGGATGTCCTAAGCGCCTACCCGGATAGCTCGCGTGAGGTTAAACTTCGGGCGGTCGGTAAGAGTGGACGCCACCCCTGCCGACGCTGTCCCAAATAAAAGGGGTCAGCAGGCTGTGGGGCATACATATTAATATATAATAAAAAAATATATGTATATTTATTTATTTATTTGTGTGTATGTGTATGTGTGTGTGTGTGTGTGTGTGTGTGTGTGTGTGTGTGTGTGTGTGTGTGTGTGTGTGTGTGTGTGCACACACATACATAGGGAAGCACAACCACAAAATGAAATGTTTTCTTTTCATATTTTGGAAGATTCTTTTCATTGATATGTACGCGGTTATGTACATGCACACACACATATAGATAGATTAGATAGATAGATAAATAGATAGATGGATAGATAGATTGTACACACACACACACACACACACACACACACACACACACACATATATATATATATATATATATATATATATATATATATATATATATATATATATACATAACATCTAAATATATTTTAACATATATATATATATATATATATATATATATATATATATATATATATATATATATATATATATATATATATATATATATATATATATATATATATATATATATATATATATATATATATCTGAGTGTGTATGATGAAATAAACATAGATACATAGATAGATAAATATATAGATAAATTTAGATAAATTGATAGACAGAGCGATAGATAGATAACTAGATAGATATAGAAATAATTAACTTTATTGTATTTATTCGTTTTTTTTTTTTTTTTTTTTTTTTGTCATTTTAGAGAGTATATCGGAGTTACTTAATTCAGTTGGGTTTCCGTTGAGAACCGATTCAGGCACGTGCATGTTTCGTAGACTTGCAGTGAATACCACAATGCAACATATCGTGAGGTGGTGCAACATTCTTCATGTTTTTATAAGGGCATTAAGGGTCATTTTCACTCATAACTATGATCCCTGTATTTCTGATTTGTGGTAATGCCTTTTTAAACAAGCTTTGATCTATTTTAAATACAAACAGTTTTACGAATCTGCAAACCACCGTGTGTAAATATCCGAGCAAACACCAATGTCTCATCTTAAATTCCAGGTGCTTGAAATGGCTGCATAATGGAAGCCATCAGACTATGATTGATGATATAAATTTAACATGATTCCGAGGGATTCAGTGTCCGTTCGCATATGTTTGTACATGAAATCTTGGCGTATGAATTTCCAGCGCTAACTCCGCAGGCTAGCAGCTTTTAACATACATTGCTAAATTTAGCCAGTTTGAGTTCCCTTTTATGTGTAGTGGAAGTTCTGTTGAACAGCTTTTGCAAATATAATAATACGTGCATAATGGTATGCCAGCTCACATATCGTCATTAAGAGATCTTAGAAATAATGGTATTCATTAATGATCGACAATGATATGCATTATACCTCGTTTTTAAGATAAACATGTGTTCAATTTTCAATTTCTCCATCTACAGCTGAGATTTGAATAATAAAAAGGAAAAGATACCTTTGTATTAAGAATGCCTGACATCATCAATCATCATTTTTAATAATAATAATAATAACAACAACAACAATAATAATAACAACAATAATAATAATAATAATAATAATAATAATAATAATAATAATAATAATAATAATAATAATAATAATGATAATAATAATAATAATAACAATAATAATAATAAAGATACTATTATTATCATCAATATTGTCATCATCATCATCATCAACAGTCATCGTATTTAATATTATTATTATCATCGTCATCATCATCATCAATGTAACTTTCTCTTACACGGTCCTCTGCTCAACTCAGGTATAGCCTAGGTATACTTCCGTTACCTAGGCTCACCTTTTCCCACTAAATCTACCTTTCCCACTTAGGCTCATCTTGCCCCCAAGGCCTCCAGATGTTATGATAGGGCCTGCGTTTCCCCCGGACCCTCTCATATCATATCTCATCTCTCGCTATATCCTCTACTTTTCTTATCACCCGGTATAAATGAGGCGTTTATCTAATACATAGGGATATCTAGCGCGTTTTGTTGTGAGATAGCGACTTTTGGTGTAACTTGTAGCGACTTGTAATGTTACGAACTGGCAACGCTGCGCTCTCAGCTGCTGGTTCAGTTGACG